GGCTTTCTAGAGAAGCAAGAGTTAAAAATCCCTAGATTGGTTTCAGGGTTCTTTACAGGAGATGGAAGCCTGCTAAGGAAAGAGATTAGGTAGCACTCATCAATCTTAAAGTGCCGCCTTAAAAGACTACCAAAAAATGCAATCCCTTCAGAGCGGGCCATAATAAGATTATTCAGCAGGAGGGACCAGTATTCAGGGCTGTTCGTTGCAGAATCAAAACATGCTGTGAAGAAGTTTTTAATATTCCTAACACCAGTTCTAAAAGCAAGAAATAGTAACTCTTTAGACTGGCAGAAAGAAAAAGTCAACTTTAGGAACAAAGGAAAAGTTGTTAGATTTCCCTTTACAGATCCTAAGCAGCTTTGAGAGATTATGTTGTTTTTCTTTTTCTTTCAGATTCTGGTTTTCCAAAGAGATTCTGAAGAAGGAAAGGCAGATTGACTTTTATGCAGATCTGTAGATGCAGCATCAGAATCTTTAATATCTAGGGCTAGCATTTTAGCTTTCTTTAGACAGTGAGTGAAGAGCTACTCTCAGTAGTAAACACAGGCACCAACTCCGTGGGTGCTCCGGGCTGAAGCACCCATGGAAAAAAAAATAGTGGGTGCTCAGCACCCACTAGCCAATCAGCTTTTGGCTGCAGGCGAGAGATGCTGGGGGAGGAGGCAGAGCAGGGATGGGAAGAGGTGGAGTGAGGCCTTGGGGAAGGGACAGAGTAGGGGTGGGGCCTTGGGGCAAGGCGGAACCGGGGTGGAGCACCCACCTGGAAAAATGAAAGTCAGCACCTGTGGTTGTGAAGGAATATCTTTTAGATTTTACTTTATACGCTTTGGAGGGATTTTTTTTTAAATATACGTTTCCTGGTGGAAAACCAAGATAAGAGGGGAACTAACACTCTTTTGCTTGTATTTTAAGGGTGAAAAGCCACTGACTTCAATGGGGCCAGATTTCACCATAGCTCTTTAGGCCAGGGAGCATTTCTTTCTATTCATCTGTACAGCACTTAGCAAACTGGGAACCCTTTCGTGACCAGGGCCAATGAGCACTACCTCAATATAAATAGTAAAGATTAAAAGTATTAAATAAAAATCCAATACATTTTTCCAATCAACGCTGTTTAAATATTGACTGCCTTCAGGATGTAAATCTTGGAAATGAGGAAAGAGGGAAAAGGGTGAGTTTGTTCATTTTGGGAGAAGATTTGTTTTCACTTAAACAAGGTCCTCAGATTTCTGTGGAGAGGCAGGATATATGGAGTGGAGGAAATTACATACATCCCAGTTAGGATCTTTGCTGGGAGAAGTACAACAAAGGTGGACCACTACAGATATATAAATGGGAAGGGGCAAGTGGCTCACAGAACAACCTTTACTTAAACCATATTCTTCCTTTAGAGGAAGGCCAGCCATATTGAAACCAAATTCAGAAATAATTCCAGCCAAGAAAGGATGGTAAGAAAAACAAAAAACACCACACCAAAATTACCTTAGAATGCAGGAGGCAAGCTGATGTAGGAACTAGCAAGCTGCTCTTACCTGCAGTATCAGGGGTCCCGGGAACTATTAATGGCAGACTGAGACCTACTGCAGGGGTCGGCAACCTCTGTCACACGGCTCGCCAGGGTAAGCCCCCTGGCAGGCAGGACCAGTTTGTTTACCTGCTGCGTCGGCAGGTTCAGCCGATCGCAGCTCCCACTGGTTGCGGTTCGCCGTCACAGACCAATGAGGGTGGTGGGAAGCTGCGGCCAGCACATCCCTCGCCCGCGCCGCTTCCCGCATCCCCCATTGGCCTGGGACGGCGAACTGTCATGGATGTACTGGTCCTCCTCCCTCTTAAAGGGCCAGCGTCACCCTGTCACTGGCTTGTTGAAGAAGTGTACTTTAAGGAAGGATTTGAAGGGGATTAGTTCAGGAAAGGTGTTCCAGGCACAGGTGGCCACATGAAAAAAAAAATCAACAAGACTTTTCCCAGGCATACTCATTCTAGAAGAGAAGCTGCCATTTCATAAGCTGAACTAAGACATGTAAAATACTAATATTTGTTATATATGCTTTCATAACAGTAACTACATCAGTGAACTCACTGGCATACAGATTATATACACATTTGTCTTACAGTATTTAGTCCATACCAGAAAAAACTATTATTTTCAATATAAGTAAATGAATGTGACAGCGAATTAATTATTTATTAAGTGCTGGCAGTATGCTATGTATTACCCAATACACAGTCTCTGTCCCAAAGACCTAACAAACAATGTAAAATACAAGACATCAAATTAATATACACTAGAATGAACAACAATTTGATAGACTAGGTAGAACAATTTACTGAATGACTTTTGAACAATATTACAATACATTTTAAGATGGGGTGAGTTAAACACACTGTGGCATCCTTCCAAATCACAGACCTTCAGCGGTAAGGAGGGCGGTTGTCTTTGCACAGTCTTTAATGTGGAATTTGTGGAATTTATCATTACAGATAAAAGCAAGCAGTTGTCTCATTGGGTTCAACACTATTCAGAGCTATACGCACAAGAAAGAAACATCACCAGCAAATCATTGGACCAAATACCAACTCTAGAGGTCATGCCAGAGCTAGATGTGGAGCCCACTATAGAAGAGCTAAGCAAAGCTATTGATTTGCTATCGAGTGGCAAAGCTTCTGGAAAAGATGGCATCCCAGAGGAAATCCTCAAGTGCGGGAAAGACAGCCCATTACCATATCTTCATCAGCTGTTACTTAAAGCTGGAAAGAGGGTTAGGTACCACAAGAGGTGTGTGACACAAACATCATCACTTTGTATAAAAATAAAGGCCAAAAGGGCGACTGCAACAACTACAGGGGCATCTCGCTACTAAGTGTAGTGGGAAAAGCTTTCGCAAAAATCATCTTAGTGCACCTACAACAGCTGGCGAATTGTGTCTACCCTGAATCACAGTTCAGATTCAGGGCTGGAAGATCAACAATAGACATGATATTTTCTCTGCATCAACTCCAAGAAAAGTGCAGCGAGCAAAACCAACCATTGTACATTGCCTTTGTGGACCTAACCAAAGCATTCGACACAGTCATTAGAGCAGGTCTATTTGCAATACTAGAAAAAACAGAATGCCCACCAACCCTGTCAAGTCTTATACATTCATTCCACAATAACACGAGAGCAACCGTCCAGTTTGATGGGTCCATTTCGGACAGCATTGAGATGAAAAGTGGAGTGAAACAAGGATCTGTTCTTGCCCCTGCAGTCTTTGGAATCTTCTTCTCAGTACTTTTGAACTGTGCGTTTAACAACATGAAAGATTGGGTGTATCTCCACACAAGATCAGATAGGAAACTCTTCAACCTGTCCTGATTTAAGTCAAAGACCAAAGTCAAAAAGGTGCTAATCAGGGAACTTCTATTCGCTGATGATGCTGCCCTCATAGCCCACAATGAAGATTTACTACAAGAACTCATGGACCACCTTTCAAATGCCTGTCAGGCATTTGCGCCCACCATCAGCATCAAGAACACTGTTATATTAGGACAGGGGGTTCCACAAGATCCTTCAATTACCTTAAATGCAAACCAGCTAGATGTAATCCAGAAGTTCAGCTATTTAGGTTCTACAGTGATCACCAACCTCTCACTGGATGAAGAGCTAAACATTCGCATTGAAAAGGCTGCCTCCACCTTTAGCAAACTAACTAAAAGAGCATGGAACATCTCAAAGCTTACTATCAAGACCAAAATACTAGTGTACCAAGCTTGGGTCCTCAGCACTCTGATGTATGTTGGGGAAACATGAACAACTTATGCGCATCAGGAGAAATGGTTAAACAGTTCCCTTCCACCTACATTGTTTACGCCGCATACTCAACACCAAATGGCAGGATAAAGTCACCAATGCAAGAGGTTCTTCAAAGGGCAAATTACTAAGTGTGACAGCCCTACTCAAGCAAAGATCACTGTGCTGGCTGGGCCATCTGAATAGGTTGGAAGACAGATGCATACCCAAGGACATGCTATACGGGGAGCTATCAGAGGGAACAAGAACAACAGGACGTCCCAAGCTTCACTATAAAGACACATGAAAGCAAGATATGAAGGAATTTGGAATTGATCCTGACCAATGGGAAATCCTGACAAATGATCGTAACAAGTAGCGCCATCGTCTCCATCAGGGTATCAAAGTTCATGACAGAAGCTAGCTCCTACAGCTTGAAAAGAAAAGAAAAGAGCCCGTAGGAAGCAAGCAGTTCCCAACCAAAATACATACATTGCAATAACAGCCAAAGATCATGCAAATCTTGGATTGGACTATTCAAGTCACATGAGACACTGCAAACAACCTACATCATAGGCTGCAATTCCCACATCTCTCGCAGATGAAAGGATGCCAATTTGATGTGGAATTTACTCGTAAAACATCATGAATAACTCAAACAAGGAAAGTAAAATATTTTCTCTGTGTTCAAGTTCCTCTTTTGATCTGTCTACCTATATTCCTCTTATTCTTCTGCATGTTCACTTAGTTCCTTCAGCTCTAGACTTCTGCCTACTCCTTTCACCATCCCATCAGTTTTCTCCATGCTGGATAATAAATCTTTCTTGTCTGGAAATGCCATTACCTGGGACAGCCTCTTTATCCTTTTGCACCCATTCCACTACCTGACTCTTCAAAATCTCACTTGATTAGCCATAAATGAAATGACAAATACCTCCTAAGCTTTTTTCCTAAATCATATTCTATTCTGTGAACCATTCTATTTTCCACATAATCTTTATAACACTCATTGATTGACCACTGTATCCTACTTCAACCTTATTCTACTTTATTTATGGATGCTGCCATTATGAAATATGACATACATTCATTTTTATACCTAAACACTTATAATTAAAAGTTAGCATTTTAAATGTACAAAGATGTTTTAAAATTGTATGGTAGACATATACGGCATAAACTAAAATGCTCCAGTTGAAAACAGACAGATAGATTGATGACAACCAACCTGTGCTTTCCTCATATAAACTAAGGGTTCCTTCATGTGCTCAGGGGGTGCTGCAGGATGACAGGGTGAAGGGAACCTTAACAAAACAAAATTATGATTTGAATGTTAGATTATTATTAAATACGTTGATGTCTTTTGCTCTTTGAACAAATTTTCTCAACTCCATAATTATTTTTAGAAGCAGTACAATATATGCAATAATAATTCTAAGCCCAAGGTCAAACCCCCAACCTTAAAAAAAAAAAAAAAAAAAAAAAAAGATACAATAATCAATAAGTGAAATCCCAGTTCCCATCTTTGCATTATAGGTATTCACACTCTTAATTAGAAAAGAAATAGTAAAGGGTACTGTAAATCTCTGGCATGGTTGAAATGTGCACATTCATAACCCTAAACATAATTTCTGTCTTTGGATAAGACAATAACAATAATTTTGTGGATGGCAATCTAAACTTGAATGATGGGATTTCTCATAAAAAGCAGTCTCTTATCTTACTATGCATGTAGAGTACTTCAAGGACGTAAAATAAATATTCAAGGCTGTAGACAAGATTTTTTAACATAAATAGAACGTTTTGTAGAAACAACAGTTAATGACATCACAAATATTCATGAAAAATCAAATAATGTTTCATAAAAATTTTAAAGCAGTATTACAGAATAAGATAATGTCTAAATAAAATTATTTTCTCTTTCCAGGAAACGGTATTTCTCAAAAAAACAAGTTCAGTCTGTAACTTGATTAATTTTCACAACTGAACATGTCCAAAGTAACTGCATAATTTTGGAGTGCCAATCTCAGCAAGCTTGAATCTCTAGCCATAAATTGCATAGCAATAAAAACATGAAAGACGCAGGAAGAGAAGTAGCTAGTGGAATGAAGAACTGTCTAGACAAAATGCAAAATATGAACACCAAGAGATGCACTTCAGAAGTAAGACAGACAAGCAAAGTCCTGCAAAAATATTAGTAAAGAAATAAAAAAGAAAGTGTAGGGGTTTTAGAGAAATACCTTTTGTAAGTAAGAAAAAAAAATGTCTGTGCTTTACATGGTAGAAAAAATCCAGTGACTGACTGTAACCCTGGGATCCCTTAGTTCAAATGGGCAGAGGGCACATAAGATGCACAGTGTTTTACAGAGATCCTCTGGATTGGATACATGCGTAATTGTTTAAAGGTTAGCATGTGAGGTCTCTACTGAGAGCCATTAGCCCATTGGCTGTCATAATCATTGCAAAATGTATGTAAAGATAATATTTACAGAATTATGTATCTAAAATTACGCTCTTAAGATCTTGGAGATAAGACATATAACCAGGAGGTGACATACCTCGGAAGTTTTCCTTTCAAGCAGAAGGTAACAGACATCTATCTCTTGTCTGAGCATTTGTGTATTGTATGCCTCCTAATGTATGCCTATTGGTTTACTAAACCACAGGTAAAAGACGAGATTATAAAACCTACAAGAGAGGAAATCTACAGGAATAAACAAACAGCAAAGTGGGTATCTTGTCTATGAATAAAGATAAAGGATTGTTCTGCTATATCTTGAAGTGCAAAGCGACAAACAGAATCCCTCACCAAGGGAGGCAAATTGACAGCATGCTTGTGTCTCATGAAAGAAGGGTCAGAGCTAACTTGGCTATAATGTGCTGTAAGGATCTAGGGTGAGCAATACTCTACAAAACATGCGAGTACATTGTTAATTAAGTCTAGGCTCTAGAATGCAGATTACGATTTTATTTTATATGTACCCCATTTGTTTCCTATACTACTTCTTGCTACTACTACCACTTGAATCTCTACACTTTATTAAACTAACTTATATTTGATTTCACTATAAACACATCTAAGGGCGGTGTGCGAAGTGAAGCAGTGATCTGAGATAGAACTGGTAAGCTGGGGTGTACTGTTTCTTTGGAAATAGTGAATCTGTGAATATTGAGTGTGTTCAGTGAACCAGAATCTGAATGGCTCCAGGGAGACACTCGGAGGGCTTGAGGGTTTGAATGTGCCAATCGCTGACCTGCAAAGTGACAGCGCAGTCTGCGAGGCCTAGAGGGGAGTGTTTGTGTTACCCATGGCTAGTGGAGTTGGGATCTGACCAACGGCAGGCATAGTGAAAGCTTCTTGATGCTAAGGCCAGGTAGTAGTGAGGCACCTCACAGTCCTGGGTACCTCCAGGAATCCTCACACTGAAACAAGAATGAGTTGGCTGAACAGAGGTTCAGATGTTTTCAAGTGTGATATAAGCAACAACCATCAAATTAGAGACTGACCTTGTACACTTGGAGAAATATCTATATCTTAATACTAGAGCTTTTAATCGGGGCTCTAAAAGATGCAGGGGGAAAAAGAAAATCAAAACAAGTATGTCCTTTTTCTGCTGTTTTGTCCCTAAGTTAATGTAATCACAATTTGTATTACAGCAGTGTCTTGAGGTGCCTCAAACATCATAGGGTGCCAGTGTTCTAGGTAACGTAAATGGACTTAAGAGACAGTCCTTGCTCCAAAAAACATACACTCTAAAGGCAGACAAATGGTCTAAGAAAGGAAGTAATATTACCCCATTTTACAGATGGGGAGCTGAGGCACAGAAAGATCAAATGACTTGCCCAAGGGTAGAGCCAGGAATTGAACCAAGGTCTCCTGAGTCAGTGCCATAAGTAAAAGACCATTCTTATTTTCAAAATTTCTAGTACCCTTATGGAAATAAACTCAACATCTTTTCATAAAAGCAAAACTGGAAAGCAAAAGACAAGGAAAAAAAAAACACTAGAAAAAAAAATCCAAACATTTTATTTACTTCCTTGTTTGCTCACCTGCGTGTTCAATGGCATCAGTATAGATCTTGCAGAAGATGATCTTGGTGATGTTTTTAAGAGCCTAAGTGACTTAGGAGCCTACATCCCATTTTAAAAAGTAGCTTAAGCACTTAGCAGCCTAAATCTCATTGAAAGTCATCCATTTTGGGGGTAGAAAAAGAAATCTGTGATGCACTAAAAATATAGGAACATAATTATACCTCCCTAGTGTGACATATACATAACGGTCTTGCAAATAATGCAGACATATCATACAGACAGATATAAATGTACATAAGCATATATAATAAAAATACTGAATAAAAACTCACACATTGAGTTCACTATAAACAGCATTCTGAAGCCTCTTTTCCCATCCTGTTTAAATAAAAAAAAAGAAAAAAAAAAGAAATTGGCAATCATTTCATAAACAAGTACACCTTTAAAGATCTGAAGTACGACTCAAGGGAATCTTTCAGATTCACTAAAGTTTGTGGTCTTCAATTCAATTTCACATCTACCTAAGTTCTCTCTCTTTCAGGCTCTCCCTAAAGGCACAGGAGGCAAGAAATAACTACACTAACAGAAGGTTAAAACACAGAAGGCCAAAGTAAAAAGTTGCATGTGCTCCCTTAATTCTGCCCCCTAGTTCAAAGCTTTACAATACAGTCTTCAGTTACAGAATCACAATTAAATGCAACCTTAGATACAATATAATACTTGTTTAATATGTTGATTATTGTATTCTTCAGGGCAAATGAACTCAAGCTCTTAGCATGCGTAGGGGACAATTTTCAAATTCAGAAAGTCGACATAACAACTAGGCAGTCATCCATTTTGGATCTGGTGTTGACCACCACGGATTAATTAGTTGCAAACACGAAGGTGGTTGGGAACTTGGGAGGAACTGATCATGATCTGATAGAATTCAAGATCCTAAGGAAAGGAGGACATGAGAACAGCAAAACAAGAACACTGGACTTCAAAAAGGCAGATTTCAATCAGCTCAGAGAAATATCAGGCAAGGTCCCATGGAAAGACCAATTAGGAAGAAAAGGAGTTGAAGGGGGCTGGCAGTTCCTAAAACATGTAGAGGCTCAATATCAAGCTATTCCAATGCAGAGGAAAGAAAAGAAGAGCCATAGGAGGCCAGTGTGGCTGCACAAGGAGCTTTTTAGTTATCTAAAAAGCTAAAAGGATACATACAGGAAATGGAGGAAGGGACATGTCACCAAGGAAATATACATGGGAATAGTGGGACAAAATCAGGAAAGCTAAGGCAAGACTGAGTGACAGCTGGCAAAAAAATGTTAGAGACAACAAGAAGGGGGTCTTCAAATATGTCAGACAAAACAAAGATCAGATTGGCGTGAGCCCACTGCTCAATGGAGAAGGTGAGCTGGTTTCGGAAGGCGACAGAAAGGCAGAGCTGCTCACTGCCTACTTTGCTTCAGTCTTCGTACAAAAAATAACAAGTGACTGGACAACAAGCAAAGTTATCATAGACAATAAAGGGGAAGGGATGCAGATCGAGATAAGTAAAGAACATGTCAGAGATCTTCTGAATTAATCCAAGTCAGTGGCCTGATGCTATTCACCCCAGGATGCTGAAAGAATTAGCTGAAGAAATCTCAGAGCCACTGTGTCATGCGGCAAGTACGCCCCATCCCCTCTTGGGGCAGGGTGAGGGTAATTACTTCCCCGCGGCCACATCTTTACTATCACCCCTTATCTTGGGGTAGCGTGACCTTGTCTTGGGGTAGTGGTAAAAGTCAATATGGCCACTCTCTCAGGGTTGTATGGCCTGATGGCCAGGGTCAGGACGACAGCCCCTTCCCACAAGGCTGTGGGACCCAATGGCTCAAGCCAGTATGATTACCCAGTTTGGCCAGGGTGTATGGCCTAGTGGTCAGAGTCAGTGTGGTCTCCAGTCTCAGCAAGGCCGTGTGGCCTAGTGGCAAGTGGTAAGGTTGTCCCCTCTCAGGGCTGCGTGCCCCAATGGCCAGAGTCAGGATAACTGCCCACTTCCGTAGGGCTGTGTGGCCTAGCAATCGGAGTCGGTAGGCTGCCCTGTTCAGCAGCGCTGTGTGGCCTAGTGACCAGAGTCTGTATAGCTACACTCTCTGGGGGCTTTGTGGCCCAATGGCCAGAGTCAGTATAATGGCCCTCTTCAGTAGGGAAACAGGCCCGTCACCAGGAGGGGGCGGGGGGGTGAGGGGGGAGGGAAGTGGCCAGGTAGGGGGACCCAGGCCCTCCCTACTTTACAAGGTCCCAGCTCAGAGTCCTGTCAGTGGCAAGTATACCCACTGACACAGTGGGGAATCCACCTGAAACACGGTAACCCCACTCGGGGGTGGGGGAGGGGTTGCATACTTGGAGGATAGAGCCAAACTTCAAAGAGATCTTGATAAACTGGAGAACTGAGCTATAGACAACAAAATTACATTTGTCTTTGTTGAACTTCACATAGGGAAGAAAAACCAAATGCACAAATACAGAGTTCAGGATAACTGGCTTGGCAGCAACACTGCTGAGAAGGATCTGGGAGTTGTGGTGGATCACAACTTCAGCATGAGTCAGCAATGCAATGCTCTTGCAAAAAAACCAAATGCAATTTTGGGTTGCATTAACAGAGGCATAGCATGCAAGTCATGGGAGGTGATAGTAGCACTCTACTCAGCGCTGGTTAGGCTTCAGCCAGAGTACTGTGTCCAATTTAGGTCACCAATGTATAGAGAGGATGTAGAGAAACTAGAAAGGATCCAGAAGCGAGCAACAAAGATGATTAAAGGGATGGAATGCAAGCCACATGAGCAAAGGCGGAAGAAACTGGGTATGTTTAAAAAAGATGCCATAAAAAAGATGAAGAAAAGTTGTTCTCTCTTGCCACAGAGAGCAGGATAACTGCTTATAAGTGCCTAAATGTCACCCCATTTTCAAAGGTGAGTTAGGTGGCTAAGTCACTTAGGCACTTTTGAAAATTTTATCCCTAGACTTGAAAAATGGTAAGTTCCCTTCTCTATAAGGTATGTATTTAAAGATTATTGAGTATGCAAGAGTTTTTTCCTTTTGCAGACAGACTTCTGGAAAGTATTGTAGAATGTCAAGTTGTTTCTTAGAGAAATTCACAGGCATTGTGCATATTAACAGTGTATCTTAAAATGACTTCTCATATTACCCTCTCTTATTTGAACTATTTTATATTTTATGCAACTACCCTTAAACAGTCTTAATAAAGTTCAGATATTACTTTCTCCAATTAGTGAATGTATTTTAAAAAAAATATCGTTAAAGAGTTTCTTTAAATGTATTTAGATTTTACAAAATCTCAATAAATCATTCCATGATTTGGTAGTTTTACAGAACTTAAACTACAAAACATTCAAAAATTAAATTCCACAAAATGGGCTTCCCATCCAGCTTTAGTAAATGAATAAGTTTAATAACTACATTTAATAAGTTCCCACCAACATTTTTATTTACGACTATTATCTATTGAATCCCTACAACGGTGTCTTACATAACATAAAACAGACTCAGTGCCTGCCTTGCAGAGTTTACAATGTACTTCAGCAAGGTACTTAAGCATGTGCCTAACTTCAGTGGGACTACTCACATGCGTAAAATTCACCATATGCTTAAGTTCCTTGCTGAATCAGAGACTAGAATCCCAATGTCTTGGGTGGACTATTACACATGCTGGATGTCTTAACAACTTCAGTGGGACTCCACTCAGGCATAAGATTCTGCTCCTGCTGATGATCCCTTTGCAGTATCAGAACCTAAATGACCTGACATGGCAAGCAAAGACATGGCATAACAACGTAGACAAATACTGAGGGTAGGATAGCGTAACAGAAGTTACAGACACATGTTTATAAGGTGCTTCAATGTATGACATAATGATCCTTTTCTTCTTCCCACCTGCACATACCAAAGATGTTAATAAAACCACACCAATTTTTTTATGCTTGGAAAGTAATGATTTGAGATTGCATCTGAATGCACAGCTTTAATTTTGGCCATTTCTTTACTGGAGTAATTAATCATGCTGTCTTAACATGAGAAACAAAAATAAGACATTTAATTTTTGTTTTTAAAAGAAGATAGTACGAGCCTTAGTCTACAACGCTTTCAAGCTCTGCTGGTTGGAAATTGTTTTAAATAGAGCATGTAAATTCCATAATCTGGAATTACAGAATATTACATCTATATTTATTCACAAAAGTGTTTATACTTCTACAGATTCATCAACTGAATTGAATGAACTATTACAAACCTGAGGTCTTCAGAAAATCCTTAATATCTTCCTTTAGTGATTCAAGTTTAATTTCTGGTTTGTGTAGACTACCCTAATAAATAAAAAAAATAAAAGCAGACAGGAGAGTAAGCTTTCTATTTTTAATTATGATATTAGAAACATTCTTATGACTACACAGGTAGAAGTAATATGCACAAGAGGAATGAATTTCAACTGTTGTGGAAACCATGAACTTAAAATTTCTGAGTTCAGGATCTCTGGAATCTCAGCCATAACATTGCATTTGGAAGATAATAATGGGAGAGTCTGTCATACAAAGATGTAATACATGGGAACTGTGAGTTGTAGACTTGGATATCGTAAAAGAGAAAGGAGCATAAAAAGATGCAAGAACATTAAAATACGGGGGGAAATAGATTTTTTTTTTTTTAGGCTCCAGAAGAACTGAAATAACTTAGTATAAAAATCCCCCACCGCAACTCCATAATATAGCTCCCTTAAAAGAAAAAAATCCAGAGTTTGAATAAGATTTGTCCAGACTAAACAAATCCTTTAGGGGCTGGAGCAGACCACTACCAAACTTCCAGGCTAAACTTAAGCCTGGTCTACACACAAAATTGTACCTGTACAACTAATGGTGTAATTTTATATCAATATAATTAAACCAATGCAACTTTTTGTGAGGATTCTCTCTTTCATAGATTCATAGATTCTAGGACTGGAAGGGACCTCGAGAGGTCATCGAGTCCAGTCCCCTGCGCTCATGGCAG